TGTGGAATGCTCACATTAGCGCGACCACGCAATGTGTTGCCATTGAAAAGTGAAGACAGTCCACCACCCGATTTAGCACCCTCAGAATGTGAATCACCAGCCATTTTGCTGAAAAGCGAAATAAGTTCTTTGAATATCATTTACTAGATAATTAATAATTTTTTTATTGCACTTACCTCGAGTTTAGTTTAGCCTGTTTGCGAATAGGATAAAATTTTCTTGCTACTTGCGTCAACTGTCAAATTTTCGTAAGTTATGTAAGTGCGAGTAGAGAATCTATCGGAATTAGTGATGTGCTGAATTGCCGGTACCTAATACTCGGTACCCAATACCTCAGAAAAATTTTTGGTACCCAATACTTCATTTCGGTACCCAATACCGTTTCTATACATAATTGCACCTTTTTGACATTATTTTCAACAGAATATCTCTCAAAAAAGTTGCATTGACTTTATTTCGACTATGAATATTATTCAAAATTAGTACGAGCACGAAGATGCTTCCCCAAAAGTTGAACAATTTGTACTAAGCAATGTGGAAACCACATATCAAAGCAAGAATGATAGAATACAAGATCGCGCCGTCGTGGGCGTTGACATTTGTGTACCACAAGTAAACAAAGAATAGAGCGAAAAGAAGAACGAGTTGAAACTGCCAAAGCAGTTCACTTTACAGCGAAAAACGTGTTTTAATTTTGCTAAATGCGAAAATATTGCATTTTTCACCTAATCTATTAGAGAACAGTGAACATTTTAGTGCACTCCATTTCTTTGCAATTGAGGCTGCTTCAGCAAACGTTTTAGTGCACTCCATTGCTTTGCAACTAAGGCTGTTGCAGAAAACTGCAGCAGCATCTCTGCGGGATTGATTAGTTAACTTGCTAATGGAGGCTGCGTGGAGCAGAAACAAAATCATTGTGAGGAAATGCTGTTAATATAATAATAGAGAAACATTTCGGGAACGGCTTTGTCGTGCCCTATGTACACAAAATGCAGCTATTCGTCCCAGCGCTACACTTGCAGCTACGCTTCTTGCATCTTGGGGGCTGTCGCAATTTAACACAGAGCACTTCATTGTATTAGTTTTTACGCAGTCTTCAACGCAAAAATTACTCACAAATTGCAAATTAACACAATTTAAGCTGATTTTTCACTTATAATTCAAATTTCTCTTTCGCTGATTTGTAAACAAAGGTTTATTTACAAGTTACCACAACTGTCAAAATCGGCAAAACCAAAGTAGCGGTATCACTGACAGCGCCACCTTTGTTCGCTGCATCGTGATATCAAAGCACTCTCATCGCTTTATTGATCTTGTCTCAACAGTAAATTACCATTTTACCAGTTTCCACCTTCGTAGATCTAAAATCTAAGAAAAATGCTTTGACGGATGAAGGAAGTCTTTCAGGCCTACAAAGATAACATCGTCCGATTCATCTAGAGAAAATGTTTCAAATAAGGAAGAGTTTCTCTGCATTGTAGCGATGGAAAATAGAAATTAAAATCACTTAGACCTAAACTTGCTTTTGATAGGCTAGGCTCCCCTAAACCGCTTTTATTTTTGGTCTACATGCGTTCTTATTGGAAGCCTAAACGTTTCGGTACCGAATATCGAAAGTATTGCATACTTTTTAAATCGGTACCGAGTATCGATCAATACTTCAAAGTATCGACTCAGCACATCACTAATCAGAAAGTAAACGTTCAACAAATAAATTAGGATGTCAGTTCAAAATGGAATGTCAAACTTGCTGCAATTTTTCTGGAATGCATTACCGGAAATCATCGGAATGTACTCCTGGTACAGGGTGATAACCGAATTCGGAGTAAGAATGTCAAAAATGGCATAAACTGCGTTGCCGACAGCTTATCAACTGCCAGATAAGGCAGTGTCGGTTTCGAGATTGGGTTACTATGGTACTATTTTATACCTGTATCCGGCCGAATGGTATATTAATCCGTTACATTAATTACGTGTACACTTATAGGGCATTCGCACAAGGCGATTTTACAGGCAACAAAAGTTGAATGACAAATTGAAAGTAAAAAAGTTGCCATCCCTATTCAGACGAGGCGATTATCATTTCAACACGAATTGTTATTTACATTATCGAAAATGAATTTAAATCGCAAAATTTTATCAATTGGCGTAAATTTGGTAAGCCAAGCGTTGGTAGTAGTGCTTTTAGCGAAGCTTAAATATAAAATAAAAGTAAAAAAGCAAAAAAGAAAAAAAGTATTTATACAGAATGTAAACAAACACAGGGTTGCAAGGAAAAAAAGTTGAACGAGCTCAGTTGGCTGGCGACCAACTTTGTTGAAAGCGATTAGTTGAAAGGACGTTCGGACGAGGCGATTTTTGCTTTCAACTAAAAGTTGCCTGAAAAATCGCCTCGTGCGAAAGCCCTATTAGGGCCGATTGTTCATTGTCTGATTTGCACTAATCGGAGGTAGGAGCTCCGGTTAATTACTAGGATTGCTTTAACGATCACATGTTACATGCATGATGTCGAAATCATCGATAGTGTAGTGGTAGTGATAACCAGACATTGAACGACCGGCCCTTATTCAAAACAAACATTCCATCAATAAATTTATAATTAAAAAAAAATTAATAAATTTTCAGACGGCGTATAAATTTCTGACCTTTGGTTTAACTTTCAACTGTTTTGACATTTAGCCAGTTCCTGTTTTTATGTTTAATGAGATTCATCCCTGAAAACTTTCTTTCTGCAGCAGCACTACTGTGCGGTAAAATAGCTAACGTCAACATATACTCTGCCAAGTGGCACGAAGTTACACCTTTCCAAAACATTTTTTTGGTCCTTAATCAATCCCCCGCTGTGGGAAATAAAAAGTGATTCCGCATGTTAAGGAGTAAAAGAGAAAACTTCTGTTACACCTTCTATACAAATGCTGACAAAAGTTAAAATTGGAGTAAATCTGCTCCAATCGGAGCATAGTCCGGACGCTGATGTATATGTTTTGTATATATGTATGTATATCGTCACCTGAAATGCAAAAAGACGTAACAAAAAAAAATCCAACTATTTAATTGAAACCAGCTTAAAATAAATAAATATCACTGTTCTTAGTTTTAGGCGTAGAGTGGGAGTGTCATTGATAAAATTAAGAGTGAGAGAAATACCACATAGCAATACAATTAAAACTCCCCTATATTATCTTCTTCAATCAAATTTTAAGATGGGGCGTTTTCCAACTGGCTGCCGAGATAGGTCGATCTTTCACTCAGACGTCGAAATACTGTTCGCTTATTTTATTGATTTTATGCGCTTATTTTAATGTGTACTATATTATGCGTGAATGGAAAGAAATGCGATATGCGCATTGACATTAGAATTAGGGTGGTCATGAAGGTTTTATTTGCGGTAGGCTGTATGAGACGGTATAAAAGTAAAAAAAAAACGAGTGTTGTAAAAAACCCTAAATACTAAAACAATTGCATTTACCTCAAAGTTAAGTTTGGAAATATACTGGCTTTTGAACATTTTGGTCCCTCACGTTGTTCCAAACTAATTTTATAGCCGTTGGTCTTCCTCTATTACTCTAATGCTCCTCATCTTGGACAATAAGCCCAATATCAGTATGTCGTCCTGGCAGTGGAGATACATAAATATGTAGATATGTATGTATAAACCTCCTTTTCCAGAAACGAAAACACATTTTTTTCAATTTATTGGCATGTATGTATGTATGTATAGATCTTTTATTCCACATTTCGTTTAATCATTTTCTAGGTATACTATATGCAATACATAATTTACTTATTCCAAAGATTCATTGTTTATTTGATTTCGTGCGTTTGGTTTTTCGTTAGACTCTTTTTAATAATATATGCTTTTTAAATTTCATTTTGTATTAATTTATAATTAGTGTTTAAAGCTACAATATTATAGATTATATTGTGTAGAATATATGCATGGGTAAGTTTTTATTCTTATTTATACATATTTTATATAAATATTTACAAAGCTTTTGTCGTAATGAGATGGGTTACAAATAAAACAAAAAAAAAATTTAATTTATTTTAACGTATTTCCGTTAATTTTTAGTTAATTTATATGATTTATTTTATTTTTATTTTCGTTATCATTATCACTTTAATTTAATTTAATTTTGATTTGTTAACGTAATTTAAATTATTTATTTTACATAATTTTTAATTTAATTTATTTTGTTCTCTTATTTTATTTTATTTTGTTCTCTTATTTTATTTTAATTTAATTTAATTTACTGCATTTTGTTTTATTTTATATTATTTTTTGTTTTATTTTTATTTTAATTTGATTTATTTTATTTTGGTTTATTATATTTTATTTTGTATTTTTTTCACTCTATTTTTAAATTTTTTACTTAATTTTTATTTTTTAATTTAATTTATTTCATTTTATTTTGTTCTTTTTCACTTTTTTATTTTGCTTTATTTTATTTAAAATTACTTTTTTAAATTTGATTTTACTTGATGCAATTTTATTTAAATTTATTTCTTTTGCTTATCCATCGTCTTACAATTCATTAAAACAAATAATAATTAAAGAACACTTTTGGACTTAAGAAGTTTCTGATAATATTATCAAATTTTACTTAAAGTTTTTAATATAACGTTCTAATCAATAATCGTAAAATTTTACAAACACTGGTTACGAAAAAAAGTAAAAATAAAAAATTACTAACTTAAATCACAATGAAAATTGCTTATGACTACAAATCTATCGATATTTAATGCTTTACAATCTTTTAATAATAAGTAACGGCGAAACAAGTTTTTAGGGGAAGAAAACATGCATTAATGCGTTATTTTTTATTAAGCTTTATGTTTTTTTGCTTTCAATCAAACAATTTTTTACTATTATAAGTGCAATTTGTGTTTCATGCATGCC